GGTGTCAAGCGCATCCGTTGTTTAACCTGTGGGACAGAATGAAACGAAACTGCACTCGGCACATGCTCACTTTTGCCGCTGCAGGAAATCACAGTGTGCTGTGATCACCTGGCTCCGGTCACCTCCCCTTCGTGGCTGTGCCTGCCCCCAGTGCCTGGCTCCATGTCTTACACACAGTGAGTCTCTGCCTGGGCCACCTCCTCTGCACTCAGATCTTGTGAGGGAGAGAGTGTCAACGACATTTGAGACCTAGACAGGATTGTAGGACACAGGTTGGGGACAGACAGGAAGCAGTGAGACTGGCACTGTAGACCTCAAGGAAACCTTTTCCAAAAACACGAAAACAAAAGCAAACCGTTTCCATGTCTTTGCCCTTCTTTCAGTTCTCCTCGGCTGAAAAATCCCTACCTCCCACCTTCTCTCTTAAAACCCACCCACCGTTCAAGGCCAGTGGGACCTGCTGGATTGGCAGGCCTTTGCATTCCTGACAGCAGCTGGCACAGTGGTTGGAGTTTGCCCTGGTGGTTAGGAAAGTGTATTTTGAAGCTGGAGAGATCTGAGTTTCCAGAGAGATCACAGCTCTGCTGCTTGTGAGCTTTGGCATATTAATGAGTGAGGTGTTCATGGTGCAAAATTTAAGGCAGCACTTCCTGTCAGGTGCCAGCTCCGCACTTCCATGACCCTGACAGTGAGTGCCACCTTAAACTTTGTACCCCTGGTGCCTCACTACCAGTCCTGGCCTTAGTCTTCAGTCAAGTTCCTTAATTCAGTGCCTCAGTTTCCTCACTTGCAAAATTGGGGATAATAATTGTTTCCTCATCTTTTGTGGGCTTAATGCAAACAATACATGCAGTGCCTGAACTATGGTGAGTGCCCTGTAAACCTATTATTTAAAGTTATTTCAATTGATTATTAGTAATGGTAATATTGTTGATTATTTTATTATTATTATTAGCATGAATAACAATGAAATTACATCTATTTACAGTGAAGATTTGTTTCACTGAACAGTGTTAGATCCCTTTTCACTCTTTTACTCCAAAACTGAGGTCATTCTTCAGGTTAGAAGAAGGAAAAAAAGAAAAGCATCAGAATTGAGTGGATGTTCTCTTGAAATTATTATCAACACTATACCTTGAATAATATCTAGCTTCATTTGATGATGTTTTCGGGTTCAGTTCTCAGTATTATGGGTATTCCTACTGGAGAACATGCTAGCTTCAGGGGAAAACATTAGGAGGTCCGAGGAGCTGAGCTTGACAGTCAAACGACCTTGAGCTTGCCTCTGAACCCCTCTGAGTGGTAGCCTTTGCCTCTAAGAGCGAGTTTGCAGCCCCTGCCTCACTGGCTGCTGCAGAGACCACCCGAAGTAACATGTGTGAGTGTGTTGCTTCAGGAAAGGGCTGAATTTTAACTGTGGCTGAGCTCACATCTACATGGCTCTGCTTTCAAGCCAAAGACAACGGACCTGCTGGGTTCAAAACAGTGTTTCCTAAAAAGTCTCCCCCTTTTTTTTTTTTTTTGACTGGCTATACTTTCCTTCCTTATTTCCCCAGTCCTGGTCCCTGTGGTCTCTGTGCCAGAGATGACAACAGCTGCAGCCCTTGCTCCAATTGCATGTCTCTGAATGACAGTCACAGTCTTCATGCAGACACACCCTGGCTCTGGGATGAGCCCCAGCTGGCAGGGATCACGCTCACCTGAGCACCAGCTCCTTAAATTCTCTACCTGGCCTTGTGGCTGCTCGCCCGTCAGCTCCTATCAACTGAGACCCACTCTGTGCCAGGCCCTAGGCTGGATTCTGGGGACAGGGAGAAGGGTAAAACCCTGCTCCTTGCCCACCCTGAGCCCGCGATGCAGAGGGAGGAGGCAGACATTTGAACAAAGGACTAATGTTCTTTCTTTTCTAGCTGTGAGAGCCTGAGGGCAGGGCTGGGAGGGGCTTAGAAGCTTTGTAGTTAGAAAAGTCTGGGTTCAAGTTTCAGCTCTGCCACTTATTGGTTTTGTGACCCTGGGCAAGTTACTCAACCTCTTTGAATGTCAGTTTTCTTGTCTGTAAAACAAATGACAACATCAATAATTTTGCTGTAAAGATAAAATGTGATAATATATGTAAACACTTAGCTCTTGTCACTAAAGAGTGGTTCTCAAACTTTACTATTAGAATCACCTGGGAAGCTTGTAAAAGTTCAGATGCCCAGGCTGTACTCCGGATACGATCAAACCTGAGACCCTAAGGATAGAGCTATGGCACGAGTATTTTTAAAAGACTCCCCACATAAAGTGGAATCATGTTTGGGCACCAGTGGATTAACATAGCAAGTCCTCAATAAATGTTGGCCACTGATCATGGTGTTGGTGGTGGCAACTGTAAGAAGTAGCCAGCCCAGGTCTTGAAAGAGGAAGTAGACGCTCCATAAAACGCTCACCGGTGATGAGCAGTAAATCACCTGTTTGTCTATTGAGTACTGTAGGACCCCAGGCAAAGCATTTATCCATTCTGAGACCTCACGCTGTCTTTCTCATGGCAAAACTGTTGGGGCAATTGTTGGGATGATAATCTCAGGCCATTCTAAATGGTTTTGCAGCACAGACGATTTTAGACTTGTGAGTATATATTTAGAACAGTAATCATCACCTTCCTTCTTTATAAAAGAATGACTTTGCCCTGTAATTTCTGTGCCATTCCCAGGCCACTACAGTGAATGGAGTTAACCTCAGCACCGAGGTTGTCTACAAAAAAGGCCAGGATTACAGGTTTGCGTGCTACGACCGGGGCCGAGCCTGCCAGAGCTACCGTGTGCGGTTCCTCTGTGGGAAGCCTGGTAAGCAGCTCCTTGTCCAGGGCAGAAATGCAACCATGGCTCCGTTCCTTGAGCTAGCAGCTGTGTGTTGTGAGTTTGGATGGCTGGGTCAGCCTCTGGGCATCTCAATGACACAGCGCTCTGGCCCGAGTTCCTGGTGGAGAGCACTTTTGTGACACAGGGGCCATGGGAGGGTCCTGTGAGTTGGCAGGAGACAGAAGAGCCCCACCCTGCCCATAAGCCTTTCAGGAAGGGGAAGGGCCTGGTCCAAGGAAATCAGGGTGCCGATGGACAGAGCTGACCTCTCTGTAGCCCGCCCTGCATGGACACGCAGCTCTTGGCCCCTTTGGGTGCTTTTATTTTAAATTCAGTTCCCGAGGTGCTCATTAGAAGGGATTGGAAATGGTCGGTTTGTTCTCGGACGCACTTGGCCATCTCCGGAAGGCAGTCATTAGGGATGGGAGTTCTTTGAGGGGAGACGTCTATGGCTAGTGTAAATAATAGTTGAGAGAAACTATATTTGTTTGACATCTTGAACAAAGTGGGTGTGGTGAGGCAGTCACATTGAACTCCAGCTAAGAAGTTAGTGGAAAATTTCCCTGCCCAAAGCTAATGAATGAGTCTTTTCTGGTAGGGTTTTTGTTGACTTCAAAAACCTGTACCAGGACTGGGATGGAGTGAGCCCAGTGATTTGGATTTTGGATAGGCAAACCTGACATTTACTTATTTAGGGAGAGGAAGGGAAGCAGAGGTGGGTAGCCAAAAGTTTGCTAAAAGCAGGCTCTATCTCAGTCTTTCCTGTTTTGGGTTATAGTGAGGCCCAGTTTACTTATTTAGGGAGAGGAAGGGAAGCAGAGGTGGGTAGCCAAAAGTTTGCTAAAAGCAGAGGGCTCTATCTCAGTCTTTCCTGTTTTGGGTTATAGTGAGGCCCAGACTCACGGTTACCATTGACACCAATGTGAACAGCACCATCCTGAATCTGGAGGACAATGTCCAGTCATGGAAGCCTGGAGATACCCTGGTTGTGGCCAGCACTGATTACTCCATGTATCAGGCAGAAGAATTCCAGGTGCTCCCCTGCAAAGCCTGTGCCTCCAGTCAGGTCAAAGTGGCAGGTAAGACTTTCACTGACCCTCTCCAGGCTGGATGAATCTGAAAATTGTTAGGCTCAAAGTAAACTGAAATCTCAACAAATCTGTATCAGTCAGATAAGGCCTTAATAATGCTGCATAACAAAAGTAACTTAAAATCTCACAGCCAACATTTACTTTGTACTCATGTGTCTGTAGGTTGTCTAAGGTTCACTTTCTCTACACTGAGCCTGGCTCCAGGCTGAAAGTTGGGTTCATGCCAGCTCCATACGGTTCTCATTCTGCTCAGGACATGTTCTTCTCAAAGGGGAGGTTGGATACTTTTACAATGGTGAAACACAGGACTCTTAAGGCCCAGGCTCAGAATTGGCTCCCTTTCACACCCACATCCCAGGGATCACATGGTCAGGCTCAGCACAAAACGGGGGAAACATACTTCTCTCATCAAGATTGAGGAGAGGGTGTGAATATTTGTTAGATGATAATTTAATCTACCACAAAATTTTAAATATCTTTTTTCTGTAGCTTTAGGATTTTCCTTTTTTTCTCCAACATCTTGACTTAGACACCCTGTTATTTATGTTATGTTTGATTACTGGAATCACAGATCGTGGAAGGTAAAAAGAGATGTCAAATATAATCCAGGTCAATTATTCTAAGTGGAAGGAGTTAGGTATCAATTAGTGTTCATTGATTGTAAGCAACAGGATCCATCTTGACTATCTTAAGCAAAAAAGGAATTGACTGGGAGACTACTCAACTTAGAGAACTAAAGTGGAAGCTGGACAACCTAGCTGCAAAAGGTCAAGGAACAGGGCAGCCTCGGGGATCTGGGTGGCAGGGACTAATGGCCAGCATCCTTAGGCATCGCCATCTTTAAGAACATGCTTAGTCCCTGGGACGTAGTGCTCAAAAGTCACCTGCTAGGGAGAGAACATCTGATTGGGCTGGTGGCTTGTGTGCTCATCCTTTGGCTAAGAGTGAGCAGGAGCCATTGACAGTCCTTCTCAGACTGCATCAAATGGAGAAAGAATCGTTCCCTAAAGGAAAATTGGGATGTGTTACCGGAGGAAAGGGGAATCGATACTGGGCATTAAAAATGTCAGATGCTACAGGACCACAGTTCCTGGAGAAGTATTAGAATTTGGGGTGGGAGGAAGACTATGGATTGAGAACACATATCCAATATATTGAAAGTATCTATTATTTTAGAAATAAAACTACAGAAAAGAAAATTCACAACAATCATCTTGGCTGGTTGGGGATATGTTTGAGAAAGAATTTTGGGAAACAAAGATTAAACAGGTGAGAAACAGCGATCGAGTCCAATACCCTTACCTCGTTCATGAGGGAGGCGAGCCCTAGAGGTCATGAGGCTGAGACAGGGCACCAGCCTCGGAACTCAGAACCTGCAAAGGGAAGGCTGTAAATGTGTTCTGGGAGATGGTAGTTTGGTGAGTGTGGCAAGAGAGAGGGAAGGAGGCACCAGCCTGTGGGTGGATGCTGAGGTGACTAGACACTTGTTCCTTGACAAGGTAACAGAATCTGCCTTTTTAAATAATAGTGCTTGACCCTCTACATTCTTTGAAAAAGGTTTTGGGGTATCTTACCATAAACACATGTCCGAGTAAATCTGACCACCAGGAAAGAAAAACAGAATGAAAGACGCACGTCTAAGTAATAAAAGACTGACGGAAGGAGAATAAATTCAGTAAATGAAGAGGAAACAGGTTACTGACCTAGACTGTAAAATTTATCTCTGAGCTTCCTGGAAGCAAGAGCGGAGAAAGAAACTTCACGAATTACTTAATTATCATTATCCAACAAAAACAAGGAGACCAGAAGGCCAAGAGGCACAGCCTTCTCTTAGAGGAAACAGGTTACTGACCTAGACTGTAAAATTTATCTCTGAGCTTCCTGGAAGCAAGAGCAGAGAAAGAAACTTCACGAATTACTTAATTATCATTATCCAACAAAAAGAAGGAGACCAGAAGGCCAAGAGGCACAGCCTTCTCTTAGCTCTGAGCCATGAGGAGTTTGTCCCAGGAGTTCCTCTACGAAGGCTACCGCACAGCCATGTGAGTGGCACCTCTGGAAGCAGCTTTCTGCAGAGATGCTCTGTATGTGGCTGTTTGCAGTCTGACTTGTGATACTAGATGAGGACTTGCTGTTGGTCACATTCTATGAGGACATTTTGAAGAAGGCGTTTTGTTTTTGGTAGAGACAGAATAGCATGGAGAGCACAGGCTCTGGAACCAGGCAGAAGGGATTCAAATTCCAGGAATGACAGTTATTAGCTGTGTGACCTTAGAAAATGACGTAGCCTCTCTTTGCCTCAGTTTCCTCATCTGTAAAATGGAGATAATGATCATAACTACTTCACGGGATTGTTGTGAGGGTTACAGGACGTCATATAGACGAGATACTTAAAATAGTGTCTGGCACACAGTAAGTGCTCAATCAACGCAAGCTGCTATTATTCTTAATATTAGGTGCAATAATTTCACAACCGAGCTTAAAGATGGGAAGAAAGAAGGGGTATGGCTGGCAGCCAGTGGTTGAACCTTATATATTTTACAGCTTATCAGTTCTGCTCCTTTGGGCTATGGAGGTTGAGAGGGTTGTAGGAGAGGGAAGAAACCTATTTTTATAATTACTATTAACCAGCATGTGAGGTGTGTCACAGCCTGCAGTTATTTTTCAGCATGTCTTGATGCCTCAAGGCGCAGATGCCAATTCTGTGAGTGTGCATGCCACACCCTTCCTCCACCCCGGGTGGGGCAGGCGTCCATGCAAGGACACTGGGGAGGTGGGAAGGAGCATATTGTCATTCATCCAACAAGCAGCTCAAGAGCGCATATGGTGTTCCAGGCTTTGGGCTGCCATCGTGAGCAAGATAGACGTGCTCTCTGTCCTCGGGGAGCCTGCAGTCCAGCAGGGCTAAGAGACATCCATTGAAAAAGCATTACCAATAAAAATAAAATTCCAACTGTAATAACTATAGAAAAGCAAAATATGGCAGGTATTGGGAACAAAGAAAAGGGGTATTGGGCAAAGTCAGAGCAGGCATGGGAGGCTTCTCAGAGGAATTAATGATTGAGCTGGGAGCTGGAGAAAGAGTAGAAGCTAAGTAGGGGTGAGAAGTACTGCCAGAGAGGAGCGTAGTTGAGCACCCCAAGGCCTGGGGGAGATCTCACTTTGGGCAGGTCCTGACAAGGCGGCTGTGGGTGCCACGGGACCTGTGCGATGTCAGAGCGTGTCTGGCTCACCCTGAGGTGTGGTCTGGGTGTTCACGCTGGAGAGTTCCTCTAGACTGCCTGTGGCCAGCAGGGCCAGCTGCTTCTGGAGGACCCTCCAGGCTGGGCGGAGAACAAGATGGGGCTGCTCCAGGCTCTGAGGACCAAGGGAAGAAAGCATAGGTGGAGAAGATGCTGGACTCCCCTTAAGACCCTCTGGACTGCCTTGGTTTAGCGCTGCCTGCACCCGTTTCTCCACCAGCCCCACCCCCAGCCTGCCTCCCCCTCCCTTAAAGTCAGGCTCAGAGTGGACTATACACTTTACTCAGCTCAGAAGCTTTGGGGCCCCTGTGAAAACAGCAGTTCCTGATAAGGAGCATCAGAAAAGCCCCAGGTAAAGGTATATATATCTGTGTATGCATGTGTGCACATGCCTGTCTGTCCTGGAGAGGCTCACATTTCTCCTATTCAGCCCCAAGCCCATTCTCTGTCTCTCCGGCCCCACCACTGGCATGGAGCAAGGACTCCACCTGCTCCTCTCTTTTCCTCAACTCCGCTACCTCTTAGGGTCCTGTTCCCCAGGTGGCTGCAGAGAGGGAAACATCCTTCTTGGGTCCTCCTTTTTTATTGCCCCCCAATTCCAGTAAATTAGACTTTTTGCATTTTAAGGATTTTCTGATGGGAAACAGATGGAGGTAACAAAGTAATGGAAATGTGTCAATCATCTAAAAACATTTTTTCAAATTTTTGCTAACCAGTGTGATTCCCAACACCTCCCGACGTGGCAGCTGGAAAAAGCCCCTCGATTTTCTGCCTCATTTTCATTGCCACCTTCCTACTTTGCCTGTAAACACCTCTAAATACTCCTACCACTGATTAGAATTAACATGTACTGTTTCCTATGACACTCCGAGTATTTTACATAAAGCACCTTGTTCACTCTTTGTGATCAGCTAATAAGGTGGGGGCTACTGTTTTCTTCATGACACGCATAAGAAAGCCAATTTCATGGAAATTAAATGTCTAGACTCACGCTTTCTAATGTGGTGGCCACCAGCACATGTGGCTATTTAAATTTAATTACAATGCAATAAAACTTAAAATTCCATTCCTCAGTCACAGTAGCTGGGTTTCAAGTGCTCAGTTGCCACATGTGGCTAGTGGCTACCATATTGGACAACACAGAGCATTTCCATCACTGCAGAAAGTTCTCGTGGGTGGCACTGATCTAGACTAAACAAGTCAACATCTGAGCCAAGATTCAAACTCAGAGCTACCCGGCTTCAAGTTTCTGCATGCTGCATCATCCTTCCTTCATGAAGGCCCCTGTTTCCAGCATCTCCATCCAAAAAATGATTGCAGGGCAAACCTGGGAGCTTTGTGGTTTAAATCTGCGTCTCTGGGACCTGCAGCCTGAGCTGCCTGGGCCTGTCCTCTCACCCGCTGGTCTGAGAAGGGCGATCCCCCTCCCCCTCCCCCAGACTCACTCACTGGGCCCTGCTCGATCTGAGCTACAAGTACATGCACCTGTTTCTCCCATTGAAGGGCCCTTGATGTTCATTCTTCTCTTGACCCCAGGATGCCTAGTAGTGTGCCTGTCCCACAGACAGGGCTGGTGGAGGGTCGTGGAACTGGGCCCCTGCAGGGTAAACTCTAGTTAAGGTCAGTGTGTGAACCTCCATGTGGGGCAACTACTCAGAGCCCCTCTGCTCCCCAGGCCTTCTCCCTGCTTGCCCAGGGTGCTCACATCCTTCTGGATGACGTGGGACAAATCTGACTTGGCCATGG